AAAGGTAGACATTTCAGGCTTTCTATACATATATTGGCCTTTTGGTCATGCATTCATCATAGATTTGTCTGATACTTCTGCAGGTGCTGATACAGGTTGGTTGTGTTGCCTCGCGAGGTCGACACAGACGTTCGGCAGGTTTTACAAAGTACTTGCCTTTGAAGTACATCAGAACGTCGAAATCCAAAATAATTCCAAACATATGCGGTGCTTTTTCGTTTAGGTACCAAGTCGTCAGCAGACACACTTTGTTGGGAAGTTGAACTGCTGCTCCTGCTCGCGCTTATCTTTTCCAAATGGCGTTATTTGCTGGTTCAGTCAGCACGTGCAGTGAATGCCCCCTATTGGTTAAACTCTGCATCAAAGTAAAATGCGCATGAAGCAAACCGTCAAAAACTACGTAGATGCGTGTTAAATCTCTGATAGTCTTTCATCGAAATAATCGCATCGCTTGTGATTTGAAAATCGCACCCTTTCAAATCGCGATTTCGAGTTACAAACGATTAATCGTGCAGGCCTACCTTGGACACAGGATTTTTTTTCTGCCATACGTCTATTCTAGAGACATTTTGTTACACCTTTACTTAGTGATTATTTTGCCTTATGTCTGTTCTAGAGACATGTTACAGCTTTTTGATAAAGCTCTAATTGGTTTTCTTTTGGAAATATGTTTCAAATTCACACTGAATGCATTTATGACTGTAAAGCATGTCTGTGTGTGTCAAAATCGTGATTAAAATCGATTTTTTTTTGTCCATATCGCACAGCCCTAGTAGTAAGCATAAAAGAGATCACACCAGATACAATACACAACCTTCTAGCCTAAGGTGAAGTTATTATGTACATTAACAAGAATTTGGAACCAATAAAATCTAATTTAACTAAATGTAATTGAATGTGAGTGGTGCTAAGGTAGTATTATTGCCCTTAAGCAGACAGGCCCCAAATAACAATGCTGTATTGAGTATTCAGCATTGTCAATGAAACACGAAGCACTTTACGAACCACATCAGAAATGCTCAGTGGAACTGAAACTCTGTTTATAGATCAGTCACAAGGGCAAAAAGTATGATTGTGCATTTTTACAAGTTTCAAGCTGACCTAACTGTTCACACGAAATTGGTTATTTGACATGAATTTTGAAATTTGAGACGCAACAGTTCTTTTAAGTCAAACAAATCACCTCCCCTACACTGCTCGGTAAATTACTCCATGCAAGTATCATGGGACATGCATGTCACTGTCTCCTTTTGTGGAATTTTGGCTTAATTAATCAAGTGTGCCGGATATTTGTCCATTTTGTGTGGGAGTTTGGCTTAATTAATGAAATGCAAATCTCTTTTTTATCTAGGAAAAATGAGAGCTGACATGACATAGAGGGTCAAAAGCGCAGCACTGGTGTGGCCATGATATATAATCTTCCTGGAAATTTCCCATAAAGTGACCATAATCAAATATGCAATCTGAGTCTTTGGTTATGTAAGTGAATACAGCAGTGAAGAAATTACTGATAAGGGAAATAATACCAACAGGAGAAGACTATTGTGATAATGTCAGGAAAGACCAAAATGCTGGAAGATTCAAAATGAGAGAGAAATTTGCAACTTGAAGTGTGCTAACGCAAGAACAGTCACCCTGCAGTGCTTTCCACAAAGAATTAGTCAAGTGTGAATTTGTGACATAGATGCGTTTTCAATTCATTATGTTAACTGACAGTTTAAATGTACCATACCAATATACAGCTAAAATAGATACAGTAAATATAATGAAAAACTGTGCAAATGTACTCCCTTTGAATGGGTGAAAACAACAAAAATATTAAAATATTATTTTTCTACATTTTATCCACTGTTTATTTAGTTAGTTTTACTTTAGAAAAGATATATAGCTAGAATTTCTACTTCTCAGTTCCTCAACTTCACAATTTGATTTGAACTAGAATTGAATTTCATCACCTGTATAGTACACGCATAACATACTTTGTACACAGAGGCTGCAAACGCGCATTAACTTGGTTTTGCACTAATCAGTTGTTTCAAAAGACGGCAAAAACTGGCCTGGGCCAATGTTTCACAGCCAAAAATGAAACAAAAGAGACGGTACAACAACAACAATAAAACAGCAGAGACTGCAGCAACAACAGACACCCACATTGATAAGCACTTGTGTGAGAGGGTTATGAGATAGCAGCAAATTTAGTTTAAAAGTGTACAAACACATTTTTATCGGTTATAACTTCTGGAGAAAAATAGAGTAGATGCTGGACAAAGATTAAGCTTTCTAGAGAGCATGCGTCAACCGCCTGCGTTTGCTTTTACCACAAATGGACAATACTTCAAAGGCTAAGTATACTTGGGCCTTTAGTCTGAATTTGATCCTTTCACCACAATAGAGCAGCATGCAGCAGAGGGGAATTTAAATCACTTTAAAACGCAGCAGTCTCTGTAAATGATTGCACAGACAACACCAAAATAATTAGTGGAAATGCATGTAGATTTTGTGGTGAGAATTTCCATCAACAAATGCCTCGTTTATAATGGGTTTTAATGTTTTTGTCTCATCGCTCCGGCCGGACAGGGCATCACAGTATGGCGAGGGGCATAACATTTTCGTCACACGCTTGAGGTATTCGGCCAATCACAACACACTGGATAGCTGGCCAATCAAAGCACACCTCGCTTTTCAGACCAATGAGCTTTGTAAAAATCGACGCGTTTCAGAAAGGCTGGCCATAGAGGGTAAACAATAATGTACAGTATGTGGAAAATGTGTTTTTTGAACCTTAAACCGCATAAACACATTTCATTACACCAAATACACAAAACAATGTTCTTTTTAGCAACATCATATGACCCCTTTAAGTACCAACTGAACATGAACTTCACATACAGCACACACTTCAAGTCCATTCATTGCAGCAGACTTTAAATAAAAATATCTCTACAGACTAAAAACCCGAACACCACCAAAATTGCATAGCAGCTGGGCATTCAAATTGGAACTGCCATATTTCACCAGACTTTAATGTGCAACATATATATATATATATACATATATATATACATATATATATATATATATATATATATCACGGTCTGTGACCTCTTAGCATCCCATCTAAGACTGAGACTAGTGTTAAGCAGGAAGCTTTAAACTCACCTGGGTGGCATGTTCGTGGGTGAACGTGGTTTGAGTGGCTTTTCCTTCTCATCCTTCTTCTCCCGTGGCTCTCTGGGAGGCCGCTCTCTAGGCCTTCCCTCCTTTTCGTCCCGTTTCAGACGATCCTTCTTCCATTCCTCCTTCCTGCGCCGACTCTCCTTCTCACGTTCCCGCTCTCTCTCCCTTTCTCGCTCTCTCTGTCTGCGCTCCCGCTCACGGTGGTCTCTCTCACGCTCCCGTTCCCTTTCGCGGTGGCGCTCGTGTGGATCTCGTTCCCGCTCCTGATGCAAACAAAAAAACAAATCTCAATTGTTCAGTAGTACAAATCCATGTACATGTCTCTCAGGAATACTTCATTCTGATCAAATGCAGCACTGAAGAATCAACCATTTTTGTATAATAAACCTATTTTGGTAATTCCGGTTATATAATATGGCCTACACATCATGTGCATGCACACTGTAAACATTTAAAAGACCAAGCATCAGTAACTTTGCACTTTAGCTTTATACTAAAAGCTCTTTGGAACATAGAACACTAAACAAAACAGTAAAACAGCTGTACACTATATCAGTATGTACTCACAGGATAGTATGGCAGTGGGGTCTCAGTGTACTGCACACGGAAATTCTCATACTGGCCTCCTCGCCAAAAAGCTTCCATCTCATAATCATAGTATGGGTCACCATATGGATCACTACCACAGAAATAGTTGTTATAAATGTACAGTTGGGAAGAATAATAAACTGTGGTTTAGATGTGAGAGCACAAGTTAATATGTGAATTTGGGGCGGCGGGGGTTGGGGGGCAATTGATTTACGATACTCACCCATAACCTGGATCTCTGAGCTCAATATCACTGCAATGCAGAAAGAGAAAATAAAAATATTACAGTATGGGTCAGAGCTTATGTCCATCTTTTTTAATCAACAAGAATAATTTAGGTTAAAATTTACATGAATTAATAAGAAACTACATATATTTTGGGTGCTGCAATGGGTCAACATTTTGTGCATTTTTGTTCACCATTTTAACCACCTTTTTGCCATTTTAAATGGCCCTGCAGTGTGACGAATACATTATTTTTAAAAACAAAAATTAATAGTTAAAAATATAACTAGGTCATCAAAACTAGTATGCATAAGAATTATCAAAATGCTTTTAACAATAGCTTTAGATGGATGACGATTACTTTTATGTAAACTGCCCACAACCACATTTGAACTTCATGAACCAGCAGAAACAAAGGTAACAAATGGAAGAGACCACTCTCTGATTAAGTTCCTGATAAGTCATTGTTTCGTACCCAGCATCTCTGATTTCTCTGGTGATACGATAGCCGCGTTCCCTGAAGAAGTCATTTTCTTTGTCAAAGTCACGGTCATCTTCACCTATGGTTACGGTGAAACGTTTTTCCTCAAAGTCTGGTTCCTGCTCTTTACGGATGGTGGCTTTCTTCAACACCTAAGGGAAATTTTTTTGAGTTGGAACAAGTTGGATCAAGGCATTCAGTTATTCAATTGAACTGGTATCTTTTCCTGTCTAACAAATTCTTCCTGCAGTAAAGAAAGCATCGTATTTAGCACAGCATGAGTATCAAAATACATAAAACATTTTGTCTCAGTTACAAAGTTGACCCTTTTTTTGTTATCACAAAACCACTGCAGAACACACTACAGACTCATTTGAATGGATGAGTTCCCCTCAAAAATCCCATAGACAGTATAACAATACCTAGAAATGGAACTTTTTAAATTGTTCACTCAAAACAATTTTAAAACAGGTATAGTGGTGACATAACCGTACCTCTTTGGCATGTCTAAGGCCTCTTTCCCAGGCGCTCTCTACTGGAGGATCTAGAGGAGGTGGAGGAGGAGGCAACTCTTCTACGGCAGGGGCTCCCTGGAAAAAAACAAGATTCAAATGTTGAACTGAAATTTTAAAACTTAATTTTAATTTAGGAAGAAACAAAATAGTAAAAAATTAATCACAAAGGATGTATACCCAGGGGTTAGCGGGCATGAGGGGGTGAGGTCCACCTCCTCCAGGAGGTGCTCCGTTAGGAGAGAAGGGATCTGGCTTGGAGATGAGAGAGTAGTTGCCTTTATCATTGACTCCTGGATGGATGAACCTACAGATCATGCCCCAGGTGCAGTTGCCTGCAAGAGACCAGACAGAAACCATTGCGATATTTAAATATATATTGATAGTTAAAAAATTTAAATAATAACATAGCATCAACATCAAAACCATCCACTCCTTTTGGAATATGTGCTCTGAAGACAAATTTGCTCATAGAAAAGATATTGCATTCAATTGCTCCCCCTACTGTTGTAATTTAGGCACACGCTGAACAACAAACTAAATGTGAAGCTTATCAAACTTCAAAGCATGTTATCATCAAGGGAAATTATTAGATTATCGCCTTGGGCTACATAAACACACCATTTGATATGTAGAAAAGCTGTATCAGCAGATTTAAAGTATTCAGGAAGTCACATGAATGAAGAACTACCTTTCATAAAAAACCTGCAGATGGGTCGGGGTCTGATCTTCCTGTCCATGGGGTCCTTCACCTCCCCCTCCTCAAGATCATCATCCTAAAAAATAAGCAGAAAAACTCACTACAGCACCTATTAAAGACTGGTTATTTAAGTTTTTTGTTTTATTCTACACCAAAGGTAGGTGATTTACGGTGTAAACGTTTGGGGTCAGTAAGATTTTTGTAATACTTTACTCTGCAAGGATACATTAAATTGACTTAGTAAGTGAAAGTAAAGACTTCTACATTGTTAAAGAAAAATATTTCAAATAAATGCTGGTCATTTGAACTTTCTATTCATCAAACAATCTTGAAATAAAAGTATCATGGTTTTCACAAAAATATAGCTGTTTTCAACATGGTAAATAAGAAAATTCTATTTGAGAACCAAATCATAATACTAAAATAATTTCTAAAGGATTGTGTGATGTTGAAAATTAAAATTACATTCCAAAATGTTTTTAAATAGAACAGTTATTTAAAAAGGTTAATATTATTTCACAATATTACTGTATTCACTGTATTTTTAAGTAAATACATTTTTGAATGGTAGAGTAACTACATATTTTATTTACATAGTATATAATAGTATATAAAATAGCATATAAAAAGTTGATCATGTGATAGAATAACATAATTATGTTTTCTGATTTGGCAGCATTGTGTCATTTCTTTTACATTCCAGAAAAAAAAGATATTGCATTAAATTGCTCCCTCTACTGTGGTGGTCTGGTCATACAAACAAATTCTCTGCGTCATGAAAAACAAACTTACACAAATGTCGTTGGGTTTCATAAAAATTAAAAATGTGGACTACAAAGTTATAAGCAAAACAAAAAACATAAGATAAAAAAAAAAAAAGTCATGACTTGCTCTGCAGTGGCGAACTGAGATTGAACAGCTCCTATTATCATATGCTAATCACAAATGATTTCAACATACTTACATCTATCTCTCCCTCATCAATCTCTCCATCATCTTCCTCTTTCTTTTTATCACGGAACGAATCTCTCCTGCCTCCCTCCCTCGAGTCCGCAGATTTTCTTAGCGGTGTGTCGTTATCTGGGGGCAAAATTGGTTTTCTTTCCTTTTTCTTCCGTCTTCTCTCCTCCTCTTCATCATCTTCTCCATCCTCCCCGGCGGGACCCTTCTCTCCCTCGTCCTCCTCAGGAGCAGCAGCACTCGGCTCTTCTGGAACCTCCTCGTCATAATCCAACTCATGTTCGTCCAGATCTCTGGACACAGAAGATTCGTCCTTCAAATCATTTACTACCATTGCCGCCCTCCTCCGCCTCCTCCTCTCTTCTTCCTCATCATCCTCTTCCTCAAGCTCAGCACGGCCGAGGCCAGACTTGGTGGTTGCCTCATCCTCCTTGTCTCGCTCCTCTTCTGCTGGGGTGAAAGGTCGCTTGTGTTCTGGCCCTGGCGAGTCAGGATCAGGTGATCTCGGCGTCTCAAGGATTTCCTCCTCAGGAGACTGGCTAGCATCCTGTCTGCTTCCTCGGACCGTCAAACCGAGGTCTTGTTGGTGGACGTCTTCTCTCTCCTCCCGGTCCATCTTGTAGTCTTCCAGGTCTGATACGTCCTCAGGATCTTCTCGTCCAGCTGCTACCCTGTCTCCATCCTCAAAATCTGAGTCTCCTCCACCCTCCTGTACTTCATTCTCATCATCATTCAAAAGCTCACTGTCTGACACTCCCTTATCTACTTCTGCTGGGGACTCGGGCGACTCCAGCAGCTCGTTGTCGGAGAGACCCTTTTCCTCCTCCTCCTCAGGAGATTGTGGGGACTGGGTGGGGCTCTCAGGCGTATCCATCAGCAAGAACTCTGAAGCAGACATTTAATATCAGCCAAAGAGTTAGTACAGAAAAGGGGGGGGGAAACAAAGTCTAAGTTAACAGACCTTCTAAGACCCACTCTAAATCATTAAAACATATACTAAAATAATATCCATTATTTGCAAACTACTGGAAACCCAACACTTTTATAACAAATCTACTAAATACTTATTTGGCATGTAGTGTTTTAATTAACATTAATTAATTATATTTAATAACAAATACATTAAAACGTAATATTTATAAAGATAAGAACAGCTTTTCCATTAAAATATGCTTTTAAATTATATTTTAAATATTGACATCCTAAAACCAGTAGCTGCCTACTAACAAATTTAGTAAATACATATTTGGCATATGATCTTTTTTTAAGTGATGTAATTCTATGTATTAATAAATATATTAATTTACAAAACCTATATATAGAGGAGAAGAAGAGTTCAGATGCAAAAGCCTTTAAGTGCCATCTGAAATTTTCTTTTAAAATGAGCATTTTTATCAGGCTCCTATATTTATGTTCAGTTATTTCACTTTAATTGCATAGAAAAGGACCTATACTTAGCCATTAGAGTAAAACTACTGAACCTAAACATAGGACATAACCTAAACATAAAAAAAGAGCCAATTTTAGGTGAAAATTTTAGATGGCACTTAGAAGCTTTTGCATCTGAACTCATACACATATATATATATATACACACACACACACATACACTGCCCGTCCAAAAAAAAAAGTCACACATCTAATATTTTGTTGGACCGCCTTTAGCTTTGATTATGGCACGCATCCACCGTGGCATCGTTTCGATAAGCTTCTGCAATGTCACAACATTTATTCCCATCCAGAGCTGCATTGATGATGGGAGAGCCAGACTGCTGCGCAAAGTCTTCTCCAGCACATCCCAAAGATTCTCAATGGGGTTAAGGTCTGGACTCTGTGGTGGCCAATCCATGTGTGAAATTGATTTCTCATGCTCTCTGAACCACTCTTTCACAATTTGAGCCCGATGAATCCTGGCATTGACATCTTGGACTATGCCCGTGCCATCAAGGGGGAAAAAAAAACTATTGATGGAATAACCTGGTCAATTCAGTATATTCAGGTAGTCAGCTGACCTCATTCTTTGGGCACATAACGTTTCTGAACCTAGACCTGACCAACTGCAGCAACCCCAGATCATAGCACTGCCTCCACAGGCTTGTACGATAGGCACTAGGCATGATGGGTGCATCACTTCATTGACCTCTCTTCTTACCCTGATGCACCCATCACTCTGGAACAGGGTAAATCTGGACTCATCAGACCACATGACCTTCTTCCATTGCTCCAGAGTCCAATCTTTATGCTCCCTAGGAAACTGAAGCCTTTTTTTCCAATTAGCCTCACTGATAAGTGGTTTTCTTAAGGCTACACAGCTGTTAATATTATCCCAATATTATGTCCCAATCCCTTGAGTTCCCTTCGCATTGTGCGTGTGGAAATGCTCTTACTTTTACTATTAAACATAGCTGTGAGTTCTACTATTGTTTTTTTTACGATTTGATTTCACCAAACGTTTAAGTGATCGCCAATCACGATCATTCAAGATTTTTTTCCGACCACATTTCTTCCTCAAAGAAGATGGTTCCCCACTATCCTTCCAGTTTTTAATAATGCGTTGGACAGTTCTTAACCCAATTTTAGTAGTTTCAGCAATCTCCTTAGATGCTTTCTTTGCTTGATGCATGCCAATAATTTGACCCTTCTGAAACAGATTAACATCTTTTCCATGACCATAGGATGTGCCTTCCAATATGGTTGTTTTAAGAAATGAGAAGCTACTCACTGCATCAGTTAGGGTTAAATAACTTGTTGCCAGCTGAAACAATCATCCATGCAGTAATTATCCAATGGAAGGCTCTACTTATTTGCTTAGTTAAATTTAGGTGGTGACTTTTTTTTTTGGACGGGCAGTATATATATATATATATATATATATATATATATGAAAAGATAACAAGATAAAGTCAAAGCTGGACCCCTGAAAGTTCACTTAAAAATAATTATAAAACTACAACTATTTGTACTTGTAAGCTTTTAAATGTTAATATTGTTCAAATATTAAAAACTGGATCGTGTTTGTAAAACTATCAAAAATAAGCGTTACTGCGGTTATCTCACATATTAAACGCTTGTCACTTAATTTGTTTTTGAATGACAGTGTCTTACACAAAGCTAACAGCTTTTATTGTAGTGACAATCATTTTAATGCCAATGGTATTTAGATGAAAACTATACAATGGTGATTTTATATAAGATACACTTTCATAAGCAAAATCCCTATTAAAACGAATGAATTACCCTACTAGTTCTATATTAGCCTGCTAACGTAAAATAGCTTAACCGCATTCAAAACTTAAAACTCATAAACAAACTCTTCCATACCACACAAAGGCCAGTAATTGAATCATCTGGAACTTGTTTACCTTCTCAGATTTAAGGCAATGGATTCATGAGAGGGAGACCGACACATGTCTTACTAGCCGCTTTATCTTTAACGGGAAAGCTCGTTGATGGCGATGCGGCTAACAGGCCCGAATCCTGCCCCCACACACTTAGAAAACGACACCATTTCCGACATTTTCCGAACCATAGCGTCACTTAAACGCTTAGACTTGAGCTTAAACAACACATGCGTTACTTTTTAAGTCTAAATTCACGAGTTACTGTGTTGCACGATGTTTCTTCGATGCACACGGGCTAAAATCTCATGCAACAATAAAGCGCTCCCTCCTGCACAACACACGGACATCGCGTATTAAAACACATTCCGTCACCTTTCAAACCACAGAGTCTCAGGAGACAGGGTCTCAGTGTAGGGAGTCGCCCGGTCTCTCTCCTTGGGGTGACTGTGTTCAAACAATGCGCGACCTGTCTGGGGTTCTTGTTTTTCTCGACCGGAAAAATGCATAAACCCTGCACTACACAGTGAGAGCGGCCATTAGACAGACGTCATCAAAGCGCGACCAGATGATTTTTTCCCCCGTTGCATAGAATACACAAACGAGTAAAAGAAAGGAAATATTATTAAATTAATATTAGAAAACCATGTAAAATAAATATATTCAATAGTCAATACATAAATATACTGAGGCATACATTCATACACACAGTGACCATATTTAAACACTGAGGTCATACAGGAACAAATTATAAAATTATATAAATTATCATCATTTAAACTCATTTCTCAAAGTAATATTCATTTATTTAGGGGTAGAACATTTTGTGAATTAATCTTTAATTACAGCCTACAGTGCGCCTCAAATCACGCATGAATTGCCGGCGAACTCTTCCACTAGGGGGCGCTATTGTAATGAAGGGACCTACAGTTAAGAAGACTTTTACAGATAACAGTGCATAGCGCTTCTGTACAAGATCAGATTACTTGCTCGTCATGTCAAATACTTAATATCAGTGCATTTAGTTTTTCATCTGGGGTCTACAGCCGACACCGCACGAGAGCTGTTTTGGTTCCAAACTGCAATGATGTCTGGTAGGAGACGCCTTATTCTCTATCTTGAGAAGTTGTCGATGTCAGTTTCCATAATACGCACATTTTAAGTGATTTCTTATATCAGAACTTCATTCCTAAAATTGTTATTTTTGAAGACAAAGGTGTATGAATAATATGCACTTATATTATATGCTAAGTCTTTTCCAAGACAAATGGTTAAAGAGCTGCGCGTTTTACAAGACTGAAATTCTTCTTGCTTGTTTCGTTAATATAATAAATAAATAATTTGCTCAGGTAGAAGATCGGTGCTAGTGTTTGCTAACGTTTATATCATTCTATAAAATATATAATTGAACGTTTGTAATAGTGCGATATAAAAAATTACAAGCTGAGCGTGTTTTTTTTTTATAAAGCTAGATTGAGAGGTTCATAAATTCACATAATCTTTAAGGCGCCAAAATATTTTGCAAACTGGATGTTGCTTTAACAACTTGCTTTAAAAAAACGAATGTTGCTTTAAAAATGTTCAAAACTGTAAATTATTCATTTTACGCGAATTATGAATATTTCCAATGTATTAATGAAACGTCTGCTTTCCTGTTCAGGTACAAATTTATAAGAGAGACTGTGATTTTCGCACGGACAGTAGGCTGTGTCCTAAATTTAGTGAGATAACTACATAGACAGCGGTTTTAGGCATGTGCCATTTTGGAAGCAGCCTGTGGCGCCCCAAAATGCAGTCTAGTTAGGCAGCTCACTAGGTTTTGAAACACAGCCTTGCTGTTTGCCTTAGAGTGCATACTACTGATTTATGATTCTGGTAGTGATACAGTCAATTAGGAGAGCTGAACAAATCTGAATGACAGCCCATTTCATAGCAGCACGCCTGACTCTCCCATCATCTTCGAATCAAGCTCAGAGAAAGAAAAGGAAGAGCTCTCTTTTATATATGTGACAGCAGAAATCTGATGGATGTTACAAATACTGTAGTGCTTCTGTTGAAAAACAGGTGTAGCCACTCATTATTATTTGCCATTTATTTTTAATATTGAAAAAAAAATTCTAACATGTCCCTTATATGAAAATCATCTCTTTTTTTTTAATTCAAGCAAAGACAGCATAATAAACATTGAGGGGCACACACACACATTTGTGTTTCTCTTCAGTTTACATGATTGGAAACCGCAGTGCTCTTGTACATATCTGCACTGCCAGAGCAGTAATAATGGAATATGAAATAGAGTTAGATGAAGTCCGAGCAGGGTTTTGCAGGGTTGGGAAGTCGGGATTGAGTTAAATTACTTTTCACATCGTGTCCACCTCAATTTATTAGGGATGCCCCGAAAGGCAATGCAGTCTTATTTACAAGGCAAAGAGACTGTTGAAAAGAGCAACAGATGTCTGGATTTTTCAAGCTCCTGTGAACAACGTCTTGGCCCCATTTAGTGGCTTTAATGGATTTCAAAACACAATTTTCAGACTAGAATTAATGTTCAAATATGTTATCAAAGAATATTTGTGGTAAACATTGTATTCTTACATTGTGATGAGTATTTGACAGACGTTTCTACCATTTGGTGTCTTTTTGTGAAATATGCACTAAAAAAGAGCTATTTAGGTAATTCGAAGATTTCTAAGACAATTCAATGTGTAGGAAAAAACAATATAAAGGTTTTATTTGATTTAAAGATCCTTGGATATTAAACATGCCATTTGCCACAGCAGCTGTGTGGCTTTAAGTCTTTCTGTGATTTTCCCTACTTTTTGCCATGCACCACTTAAAATGTCTCATTTGAATAATTAAAAGCTTCTCATCCTGTCTCAATAATGTTCAGAGGAAGTCTCCTAAAATCCTTAGAGCAAGTGTTATGGGAATATTTGTAAAGAGAACAAATAGGAAGTCTGTGTCTGCATCATGTTATTTTAATATGTGATGCTCCCACCTCAGTGTACGCCTTATCTTTTTGCGGCAGATGAAATGGACTGTTATTTAGTAATTAACAGACGGCTATGAAATCCTCTTAACAGTGATTGAGACTTGCTTTTTCCCTGCTGACTCCTGCAATCTTTTATTCCAGAGTGATCAATTGGATGGACGCTTGCATTAACGTGGGGGAAAAAATAGCCTCTGGATTTCAATGCGATGCATTTAATGGAAGGATACTTTTACAGAAGAAATAATGGGCTGCGGTCAGCAGATGAAAATCATTATGCTGTTGAAGCCAAGAAAATTAAACAACATACTTAATAAGAGTAAAGAACATCAATAAAAGCTGGAACTGAACAGACCGTTTTTTTTTCATATTCAATCTTTTGAATATCAAACAGATTATATTCTGCTTTTTTTCTCCACCACCAATTTGATTTCTGCCTGTATCTTCACATCTTGTATGTAAATACTCACATCAAGAGGACTAATCATGCAGGAAAATGTGAGCTCCAGAATGGACACCCCCACCAACATCTCCCTGGTGGGGTCTGGGGACGCTGTGTCCGAGTCCCTGGAGTATAAGACGGTATCTGTGTTCCTGGTGCTGCTGGTGTGTGGCGTGGGCATAGTGGGAAACATCATGGTCGTGCTGGTGGTACTTACCACACGGCACATGTGTACACCCACCAACTGCTATCTGGTGAGCTTGGCCGTGGCGGACCTGATGGTCCTGGTGGCCGCAGGTCTGCCGAATATCTCAGAGAGCTTGATGGCCACCTGGGTGTATGGGCATGCTGGGTGTCTGGGCATCACCTACTTCCAGTACCTTGGTATTAATGCGTCCTCCTGTTCAATTACAGCCTTCACTGTGGAGAGGTAAGACCTAAAATTAAGTAACATAAAACTAAAATTAAATAGCTCAGAGCTGGACTCAAATTCTTTAAGAAGACTGTGATAGTTATGTAATATGAAAATAAGTAAAATGATATGAAGACAATAGGGATGTAACGATTCACTCAACTCACAGTTCGATTTGATTCACGATTCGATTTGATTCACGATTATTTTTATTTTTTTTACAAAATGAGATTTAAGACAAATTATAAATTAAATGTGTTTTTTTATTATTGCTTGGACAAAATGCTGCACGTTTCTTTGTGAAATTGAAATATAACACTATAATAATATACTAATATAGCTCTTCCATATTATTGGTCTTTTGTTGGTTTTGATTGCTTCTATTGTCCTCATTTGTAAGTCGTTTTGGATAAAAGCATCTGCTAAATGACAAAATTTAAATATAATGTAAATAACAAAACTAAATTTAAATTTTAAAACAAGCCCCAAATCAAATAAATAAGTAACACAAATAAAATAAATCTCTTCATATAAACAAACTAAGGCTTTGTCTGTAAATCCCATTTAAAATTAGAGGCAACCACTGCATTTTAATCATAATCCAAACAAAGATGCTGCATACATGCAACATGAGCAGTTTTTAATCTAAATTAATCGAAATTTGAAGCAAAAACAGAATGGTTTGACTTCAGTTTTGTGAAACTATGCATAAAAAATATCTGCATGAAACAGAAACAGCAGACGAGCTGAATGAGACGCAGATTCTCTCTCTGCCAGCAGGTGGCGCTTAAAGCGTTTCCTTGCTTTCCGCTGCAAACAAAGCAGCGCTGCACTTATGAACTTTAATATGCATTATACAGAGGCAAGATGAAAATAAAAAATACCATCTAAACTTTTCTAAAGACAGTAAGTTCCCCTCAGACATACATTCATATAAACTCATACCCCTAATTGAATCGCGATTTGTTTAGCATCTCAACTGATTTGAATCGTCACATATTTGAATCGATTTTCAACCGGCTCGGGGTTAATCGTTACATCCCTAGAAGACAATATGATAAGATAAATGCTCTAACAATGCTTCTAATTTTAAATATTGGTAGTCTTTGTGGCTCATTATTTTAGGTATACAAACAAATCAACATGATATATATATATATGAGTGAAAAATTTAAGGGGGTCTGAATACTTTCCGTACCCACTGTATATACAGTATATATATTTGCCATGGAGGATTTCAGCATTTTAAATGTAAATATTTAATGAGTTCTGTCATTAATTACTCACCCTCATGTCGTTCCAAACCCGCAAGACCTTCATTCATCTATGGAACACACAACATAAGTAATCAGCATTGTTTACGTTCAGCATGCACGCGCTTTCTCCTGAATGTAAACAACACTGATTACGTTGATTACGTTCTGGGGAAAGCGTGCGCATGCGTCATGAGTAATTAATGACAGAATTTTCATTTTTGAGTCACTTTAACCCTCTGGTGGTCTTTTTTAGAGCAAACCATTTACATTCTGAATTTTATAAAGGTTTTACTTCATTGGAATGGTATGAAACTTGGTGAGTATTGTGGCACTTACTATATAAATACAAAAAAGTCAAAATATATAGTCTTAAACATTAGTCATACTTATAATCTTTGAAGTAAAAAAGGAAGGAAATAAATGAAAAATACAAAAATAAAGAGCTAATATATAGGGTACAATC